AGTTTGTGGTGATGAAGTGTAGCAAGTGAGGAATAATGCCACACTCAGCAGCTTGCTCTTGTCTCCTTTTGTTGATCTTGCATAGATTGTAAAGAGCATTCAGTACCTGCAGCAGGCAAAAGATTTGTAAGCCTCGGATGGTCTTAGAACTGGAGGACCTGGTTGTGTATTTGCGAAGTATATTGTCCTTCCAGAAGCGGGACTAGATGTTTCATAGCGTCAGCTCGTTGGAGTGGCTCAAGGGTATACGGATCCATCGAAAGCTGACTGATGCACTTCAATATCTGCAAAGTCAAGGCCAGTTATAGAGCGAAGACTCGGCTAAAGAAGTGTTTACCTTGAGTAGTATAGGAGGCTCCAGTTTGCTGAGCATTGTGAACAGCCGGATCAACAAGCTCAGGCTGCACATCGACGACTTGACAACAGTATCTGCGCGAGAAAACTCCAGCAGCAGGTCGGCAACTTTGACAAGATACTCCCTCGCCACTTCTGCATTTAGCGTCGATGTCATTCTTGTAAGCACGCCGGAAGACGTTGCGCTTCCGGGCCTTCCATTGAGGACGCCAGAAAGCGAGAGTAGACCCGATGCCGACTGTGATACTAAACCAGAGGTTGACGCCGTCATTTCAGCTGTTGGCTGCTGAGGTAAGGTTTGCTTTGTCGTCAGGCCATTTGAGGAGCTGCCTTCGTGGCTGAGTCCTAACGCACGAATATCACCTTTCTCTGGATGTAATCTGTCAGTAGAATCGATAAAAAAAACAAGGTTATTACCTGCAAATGCTCGCATCAACGTTTCGAGGTCCCCGTTGTTCTTCCGCGTTGCACCAGAGTGGTGAAGGAGAGGTAAGAAACTGCTGTCAGCCTTCTCTGTTGTTGCACGACCAGAAGTAGCGGGCCTCGTCGATTCTTTATCCAGCATACTTAGAAGCGGAGGAAGTTGTTCATACGACTTCCGGGGCATGTCTGATCCATTTTCTAGATGCCACTGATCGGAGTGATTCTCTGCCGTCTTCTCGGTCCTTCCTGACACCTCCGGCGGCATTCTTTCTTGTGATGATGAGCGACGTCGATTATGACCCAGTACTTTCCCGTCCCCACTATACTCGCCTTGCTTTGAGCTTTCAGGCTGCGCTAGTGGAGACTTCTGTGGCTGCTGCGCCTTCGGAGAATCTGTAGGCGGACGGAGAAAGTCATGTCGAACTCGCAGCGGATCCAGCTGTCCGGATCTTGGACGAATGTGATCAGCATACACTCGAGATGGTTCAAGAGGTCCCGAACGTGAACGCTGAGACGTAGTTTCACCACCGATGGCCGAGTTGCCTGCGCCACTTGCAGAAGCCAGCCTCGCCGCCTCATTCAAGCTATGAAGCGTGTTCACAAGTCGAACAAGGACGCCGCTCTTTGAGAAAATTCTACAAAAATCGTTCCTTGGTGTTGGACTCTTTAGCTCAAACACTTGCCACATGCAGTCAATCGCAAGATGGACCATTTCTCTGTAAAATCAAGGTTAGAACCTGCATAAGTTTTGAAGAAACACTACCTGTACTTCGCATAGTCCGATTCTAGAAAACCAACGAGCACAGGCAAGCCTCTGCAAGCTATGAACATTTGCAGCGTTAAATTACTGCAATATACATGTTAGTCCCTTCAAGTAAGAAATGCAAAAAACTAGATAACCTGCTATTGCACATTTGTTGAACAAAGTACGCAGCCTGCATACGCATTTCCTTTGATTTTTCTGGCGCAGCAAAGTTCATCACAACAGGTATCTGTAGGCACCATGTATCGATAATATATTGCTAGATAAAGAGAGACTTACCAAACCAGCTAAACAAGCATTTTCCTGTATATCAGAACTGTCCTTGACAATCTGGTTAATAAGTTGCAATACTGCATGCATGACCTGCAAGCCTTTATTAGAAATTTTCAGATAGAACCAGACGCTTACTCGATTGTTGTTCACCTCCAGCATTTCAAGCAATGGCATTATCCCATGTTGCAGAATAAGATGAGATTTTTGCTCGGGAAATTCGCGAAAAACGGACACGAGTTTCTGACAAGTGGAAACTATTGCTTCCTCGGGCTCCTCTGGTTTCAATAGACCAATCAATCGGGTAACTTCCACAGCCTGCCGAAGTGTGAGACGTAAGGACATTGCAACGTAATGAGAATGCTACCTGTTTGCCATAGTAGTCTCTTCCTTCCACATTGCCATCGAAACCCTGAATGCAACTGTATAAGCATCAAAATCTACTTTATCACAGTCAGGAAATACCTGAGACTCACCAAACCAGTGCTGTCGAAGTCTTCGTCTTCAACCGCATCCACAATAGCTATAAAGTTCGTTTCTCCGTTCTTATTTTCGGCTCGTTTTCGAGCCATTTTATCGTTCAGCTTCTTTACTAGAGCTGACGAGTCTCTCCCACTGTTCGGAATTGCCAGAGGAGCAGGTGACTTATCTTCCTTCCGTTCAACTTTGGCAGGAAAATCTTCGAACAGATCATCGAGAATTCCATCAGCTGGAGTGTCACTGAACTTACTCAGCTCTCGAATAGTTGAAGTTACACCCTTCACAGACTAAAGCACAAATGTTAGACGAGCAAATTCAAACAGAATGAATATATAATAAAAAAACAAACCTGCGATGGCTCTGTGGGTAGATCTTTGCTGTTCATTTTCGGATGCTGCAACATTTCATCCACTTCTTGAGGGGGTGACATCAGTCTCTCGGGAGTCAAAGATCTTTCAACAGCTTCAGGTCTTCCCATTGTTTCCTCTGTTCCAGGAAAGACCACAGGACGGGGAGCTTTTAGGCTCCCCTCTGGCTCGTCTTGATCCCCGGTTTGTGACGACTCGTCAATAACCAGCAAGTCATTGTTCCTTTTCGTTCCATTTGCCTCACTTGTGACCAATACGCTCGCCAATTCTTGAGAACGAGATTTTGCATCATCATCCTAAACCAGCAAGACGTGTCATCAACAGAAGAGACAGAAATTCAGTACTACCAAGACAAACTCCAAGGATGTCGCTGGTTCAGGTGATGAAGACTTCCTGTCTTCCTTTTTGCTATCTTCAATGCTTCTTTCCAAAACCGTAGAAACATCTTGCGGGATATTGCTACACAAAAAAAAGAAGCTTAAGTACATCTCAAACTCATAAAGGTATTTACCTCAAACGAAGAGAGTTTTGCAAAGCTCGTCGTGAATTACGAATCCAGGAATGCTTCAGCAATGTCTTGGCATCTGGACGGAGCTTCGCATCCTGAAATCAGATTTCAGTATTGCCACTATAAGACAATCGGGAGCGAACTTTTTGAAAGCATTGGTGCAGAAAATCTGTCAATCCAGGTGAGAGATGCTCAGGAATAGGAGGTCGTTCGTCCTGCAAACATGTGATTATTTTATATTTTCGCACAACAAGCAGAAAACAAAAAATACAGATACCTGGACAATGCGAAAAAGTGCAGGCATTGGCTGGAGATCATAGTAAGGAGGCACACATGTCAACAGTTCTATAACAGTACACCCAACGCTCCAGATATCCGACGAAGCACTGACTCCTGACATTTCGACTACCTAACAGAAGCATCGTTCAAGATTAAACAAGGTCGCGCACAGTGAAACGCACCTCTGGTGCCATCCAATACGGAGTCCCAACAACGGAGTGAGTGTTCACGTCAGCTTCAGTTAATTTGGTGGCAACTCCAAAATCCGCAAGTTTTACGAATCCCTGAAAGCTCTACATGTTAGCAAGCAAGCCACTGGCTCAAGTAGTAAACACCTCTTTCGTCGTGAGGATGTTAGCCCCCTTAATGTCTCTGTGAATAACACCTTGTTCATGAAGATATGCCAGTCCTTCCAAGACCTGTGAATATCGAGTTAGCACTCCACTTCTTTGTAATTTATACATGCCTGAGCAATGTATACGGCAACAAGTGACTCTGGAAATGCGCCAAATTTGTTCGGCTTAACAATGCTAGCCAGAGAACCATTCTCGACATACCTGCAGAGAAAACCACACTAATCAAGGCTAACATTGACGGTTAGCTTACTCAAGAATGATATACAGATGTGTCTTGGTCTTGATAGATCCCCTGTACTTGACAATGTTTTTATGGTTTAGATTCTGAAAAGCTTGAACATTATTAGATGAGATCTTTACCAAAACAAGAAACTGCATACCTTCAACAAATCGATCTCTTGCTACAAAACATACATTGACAAGGCATGAGTTCGTAATGAAAGAGAGTAGCTTCCATCTTACCATGATGCTTGCGAGGTCCTCTGGCGGGATGTTCTCCAGAGAAACCTGCTTAATTGCCACAAAGTCCCCATTTTCCAGGTCCAAGCCTTTGTAAACTCTGCCATATGCACCTTTCCCGATTTCATCTCCTATTATCTGTTTAATTACACGATACAAAAGAAGAAGGAAAAACTGATCAGCACGATACAAAAGATAATGAAAATGATCACGATCTCCCTAAACCAAAAAAAGGAGAATGAAAAACTCACATATTTATCATTGAGCGTCTTTGACTTGTGGAAATGAGAAGCCGACGAATGCCGCGACATTTTACCCAAAAACTCTGCTGGGGCCACGGTGCGCTTGCCTTCATCGTTCACTTCATCAGCACGGAATTCCAGCTACAAAACCTCCGTCGAACCGATCCAGCCCCTGACATCCCTCCCAGTGATCCCCGATCATCGTTTCTCGCCAATGCGAGCATTCCCGCGCTAAAACCACGCCTAAAACCCGTGCCTCCCTCCCACATTGGCGCGCGGCTACGCCAAATCAAGCCGAATCGACCGGCACGAAGCCCCGCAGCAGCTCAAATCCGTGCTCTCGATCGATCCTGAAATCCCAGCGTACCTACGAGAGCGATGGCGATGGCGCACGACCTAGCGCCCCGGCTCACACAAACCCTAGAACGCGGCTTACGCAGTAAGGGGCTAATCGCTAGTTTAATTTGCCTCACAGCTGTCAGCCGGTAGCTACCAAGCTAGCGCAAAAAACCAGGCTGGCCTGCGAGAATCACAGCCTGTCCGAGGTTCGATACCAACAGTACAAAGATATTCGTCCAGGTCCGCGGCTCGAATCCCTGGACAATTATACTATTTCTTCTTCTTTGGTTTTGTTCTTCGCGTCATTCTAGTTCTCTTTACTCCTCGTTTAGACGAACTTCTTGCAAACTTAGCTGATGGAACTCCATCAATCCTCTCAAGCAGCGAATCTCGATCGCAAAGTTCTCGTTCTCCTTCGCCAGTCTCGACTTTTCCTGGTGGAGTTTCTCCATTTGCGATCTCACCTGGGGAAGAACGAAAGGAAGAAACGATGTTCTTCGTGAGCGAAAGAGAAGAAAACTCGAGAACTTGCCATCAATCACTGCTTACCAGATCGTCCTCCTCTGCCATTATCGCTATCTCGGCCTGTTGCTTGAGCTTCTCGATCAGCTTCGCGTTCTCTTGCTCCAGCTTCTCGTTCTCTTGCTCGAGCTTCTCGTTGTTCGCTTCCAGCTTCTCGATGCGTCTCAACGCGAACTCGAGCTCCTCTCGAAGAGCTTTCATCTCCTGCTGCTCCACCACCACCTGAGAAGAGAAGATCGATTAGTTCTCTTGTTCCCATGTTTCATTCCAAATTCACCTTACTTCTCGAGAATGCTGGATGTCCAAAGTCTCAAATTCTCCTTCGCGAGTTGGATCCAGTGGCAACACGGCGGCCTCTTTGCGCGGCTTCTGCGACGGGCTTCTCATAGACATGAGATTCGAAGCTTTCGTTTCTACTCTAGTAAAACCATCCTGCCATTAAACACGAGAGAAACTTAGCTTTGTCCAAGAATCTGCCAAATACCTCGATCGCCTTGCCGATTGAGCCGCCGAATTGCGACAGGCTCGATGCAAACGCTTCCAGCTTCTTCTGGAGCGGCGGCGCAGAGCTCTCAAATCCTGCTCTCGCCGAGAATTCCTGCGGTATTTCACTCAATCTCCACTCGATCATCACTTGCATGGCCTACCTCGCAGAGATTTTGCTCCCGCGTCTCAAGATCCCGACCGCGATTGTGAAACCAGCTGCCGACGCGCCCGCGGCTCCGATCATCTGCAAATGCCGCCTTGGCCTTCCTCGACACATTGCTCCAAATCTCCCTGCTCCCGATGCCGCCACCGCTGCGCTCTTCCACCGCCATCGCTGCGCACTGAGAGAAGCACGACCTAGAAAAGAGTTCGAAATAATTCTGTGATAATCCAGGCCGCCCGTTCACGAGACCCGTTACTTTCCACTTTGGAATGGCAACGAGATTGTCGCCATCCAACGGCTACTTGTCAATGGAATAAATCTTTCCTGTGTGTATTAAATCTGTGCTACACAATAGTGTCGATGATGTTAGCTATATAACTTACACAAGCTTCACATCGTCGTTCTCGTCGCGCCTCCTACAAACAACAAACCTTCCTTTTTTTTTCCCGTCGCAAATCTCTCGCCCTCTCTCCTCCTAGTCCGCACAAACCTTACAAACTCTCGCTCGATCGATCGAATTCTCCGCTGGCATTGCATAAGTAGCGCGTGTGTGTGTGTGTGTGTGTGTGTGTTGTTTCTCCTATAGAAGAGTGAACAGCGTTGTTTCATTGGACTTGTGGACTTCGCCAGCACAAAGCACGGGCTCCAGGAGCTCTGGACACGGCTAGCGCTTGTGAAGTTCTTTGAACCTGTGAAGAACAATGCGTAAGTTTCAACGAAGAGAATGGAGGAAAGAAGCAACGAGAGAATGGACCTGACGGCTGCGGACATGCTCCAGAAACATAGCAACGTTTGGAAGCGACAATTGCTGCGAGTCCTCTTTGCTTACTGCCTTCTGGAAGCATATGATGTCACCATCTTCCAACTGAGAAACGTACAATCAGGGTCAAATATAAAAATAGTTCTACCCGTACCTGACTGTCTCGAAACGTAAGTTTCTTGTCAATTGGTTCGCACATCACATTCGGGTCAAATTTAATTTCCTGTCGAAAACAATGATGAAGCAAATCAATATAGAATAAAAACATTATCTACCTCAAACAGTAGAATTTCTTCACCAGATGGATAACCCGCGATCTCATTCAGCTTTTCTACGATGTCCGCAGCTCTTCCATTGGCCTTCACCATTAACTTTCCCGCATATCTGAACAGGAAAAAGAATAATTTGATGGATTAGAAATAGTTCTAAACATACCTTAAATCTTCCTTATCCGGAATATACAGTTTCAGGAAAAGCAAGATATCATCCTTCGTTTTCTCGGATGGAGATAATGGAATGTACGTGTCCTGCACACGTGAAGCATTAAAGTGAGTTTCTCTGACGAACATTTCCTTACTTGAGCCTTTTGAATCTCCAAAAACAGCCTCAGTTCACCATTGTATGTCTTGTTTGTTGCTGTCTCTTTGATGTTCCCAACCATCTGTGATTCCTCTTGCTCATTCAATGGTCTGCTCGGACGGTAAGTATGGTTTTGACGCTTAGCCCATAGCCAAAACCTTTGGCAATTTACGGGAACGTTGAACTCCTTGGAAACTTCCTCCTAAAAGCGCAAAGTCAAAAACTTCGGACAGCAGAGCGTTGGGCTACAGACCTTGAATTTTGCGAATGGCAGCTGCTTCAGAACTCGAAAACTGTGAATTCTATCATGATCAACGAGATCAAAGAAAATGTCTCTTCCTATTTGTTCCGAAATATCGTCTTCTCTCGTTACCTGGTAAAAGCGTCAACAGACCAAAATCAAAGACAATGGTGGACTACCTTTATGACAGTGTACAAATGAGCTTCAGACTTCTCTTTCCGTTTTTTCTCTTTGTCATCGTACTCCCGTTTTAGCCTCACCTGAAGTCCATATAGTTATAAAACACAAATGAAAATCATAATAAGCATACCCGTAAATGCTCTGCAATATCTATTTCGTCCACATTGCAAATTATCCGATCTTTATCGCACTCTCGGACGTAAACAAGCATATAAGCGTTTGAGTACTTCGTAAATTTGAACGCAGTGTTGTTGAAACCAGGATTCGCCTGTGGAAGCTGCGCAGCACATTAGCAAAAATCGCACAAAAATTAGCAAGAAACATACTTCCTCCTCTCCACCATATTGCTCCTCGAGAACTCTTTTGGTTTCTTCTTTTGTCACGCGTTCATCGTCAAACTTATACCTGCCAGGAAACGAGACTTAGCGAGAATGTTCCGAAAACCTGATCAACTTCTAGCGTCATTTTAGCATTCAAAACTAACTACCTAAGTCAGTATCTGAAAGTACCACTGATCAGATAAAGTTGGTCTGATAAATGCGTAGTAGTGCCCTCCGTGTACACCTCCACTATGCACCAAGACGCTGGAATATCAAAACCCGGATCAGACTACGTGGATAAGCTATTCAATGTTTACCTATGCAAAGAGTACAAATTCCTCACGCTTCTATCGGCATCCGGCGATAAATATTTGCCGTTCTCCTTATCTAAATCCAATTGCAGAGGAAACTCGTAGCGATCGTTTATCTGCCAGCATAATTAGGCACTGTTCAATAAACAGCCCAAATTCAGTGAATGGAACTAGGAACCATCCACCAACACAACGTAGTTCAAGCTATTACCTTAACCATTGTGTCTCGCACAAAATCATATTCAAACCGCTTGAGTTGAAGCTGGAGAACAGGGGGAAAATCCACAAAGAGCACGCCCTTGCGTGCATCCTAAAAGAAACAACCATTAAACCTTCTTGACATGGAACACGAAAAACAAACCTGAAGGCCATGCTGTTCAGCGTGATACTTGTTATCCCCTTCGAGCTTCTCTACCTCGACGTACTTATCAAACGACGCATAAACATCCTTGCAGCCTTTTACATCAAGCTGCAAATCTGTTATTCCAACGGGTTAACAATATTGCCTGAAATTCCCGAAAATGCAGAAACAAACCATAAAAAGATTCCTTTCGAGTGGACTTGTAGTCCACATTGATGCATTCAATATAATTCATATGGTGGCCTTCGAAAAGCTGCTGTATGGTACCTTCAACAGCAGTACTCTGTAGTGGAGCTTGGTGTTAGAAAACATTTAACGTGAAGAAAATAGCAGTAAACCTTCATCTTATCCTCCAGCTTCTCGCACAAAACACGGTTCAATTCTTGCACATCATGCTGCATAAACGAATCGTACGTATCCCAACCAAACGATCTAGTCAAATCTTTAGTTGCAACACTCGTGTCGCTATACTGGATCTTATAGAACAAACTTTGAAGTGCCAGTGGTATACTACTGGATGGAACATCATGTTCCGTTGTTGGCATATGGTATACTGCCTGCCAACACGAATAACTGTAAAACAAGCAAGAAAATCGAGATGGTTACCTTTCGGAAAAATGGCAGGTGATACAGTGTCTGTAAAAGAGAATTCATGTAACAAGTAGCTCCTTGGTTTTTCAGACCTACAAATCCCGTCTCTTTCTTTGAGTCGTAAGAGAAACTGTCTATCATCTTCCGCACGTTAACATCGGCCTCCAGTATAAGTGTATCGTTGACAAGGTATCCTCTACCGGGATCATACAGATCATGTAGAGGCATGAAAGAAGTAAACCCCCAGTCACTCTCCTTGGCGTTAAAATGGTGCTGAGTATCTGAAAAGATATAAAAACGTTGATCAAGATTCCAAGAAAAGAATGTCACCTTTTCTGATGCTCAGCTTGGGATCAAACTGGTTGATAACCGCCAAGTTGAACTGTGCAAATCGGCTCCAGCCGTAAGAAAGGCTTGCCGAATCCGCCACATCCAAGTACATGGAAAGGCAATCCACATTGTTGCCTTGGGTAAACACCAGTATCCTCCTGCATACAAAGATCAACAAGCGCGAAAAAAAGGAGCTGAGATTCAGTACCATTTGTATCCACCGATGACGAAAGGATCCGAGTAGTATTTTTTTATGGTGATCTTGGAGAAATTCTCGATCGGCCAAGTGAATTTTCCACACAGTGGATCCTCGGCTGCTCGGCTCTCTCCAGACACTGGAACGGTCTCGGCTTGGCTAACAACTGATGAGAAACAAGCATGAAACCAAAACGATAATTATCCATCATCCTACCTTCCATTGCCTCCGCCGCGTCGGTGGCATTCGGATTAGCGCCGGCGGCAACGAGCACACCTCCTTGCTCCTCCTATCACACAGCAAGCACCGCCAATTTCACTCCCGGGACGCGAAATTCCCAGAGCTCACAGAATGCGCGCCGGATCTGAGCTCCAAAACCTAGAAATTCTAGGACAAGAATGCGGCACTCACCTCCACAGCCATCGCCATTGCTGTCATCGCGCGCGCGCGTCCTCCGCCCCGCCCGGCGCTGTCTCGCGGATTGGAATCGCTTAGAGAATTGGAGAGGCCTTAGGGTTGGGACGAAGCGGGCGAGACCTAGGATAAAAGATCAAAGTTTCTTATTCGCTTTGCTACAAACTGGGCAGTGTGAAAACGAGGGAGCAAGCAAAGGAGACTGAGAGGGACGCCCTCGCTGCCCTCGCGAGGAGTGAGGTGGCATCCACGTGGCGCTCATCCAGGGGCTATTGAACACGTGGCCAATCTGAGAAAAATAATGTCAGAAATTCCTTTTCTTCCAAACGTGCTCACGAAGTTGCGTGCTCGAAACCTTTAACGCGCTAAAGGCATATGCCAGGGATATGCTCGGCCATGGAATCTTTAGCCCCTTTGGCAGGATATGCCTTGGCACTAGTGATCCAGCGCTTTTGCAGCTCGCGCAGCTCGAGCCAAGGCGCGGTGGAGTGGATCTTGGCGCGCACTCCACGCTTCTCTTTTCCCTGGATCAATCGATCACCGCAATCTCGCTAGTGTTCTCTGTCGTCGCGGGATGATTCCAGGCGAAATCGATAGGTTTCTTCGAGAATCCGTCACTTCCACGGCCAATCGCCAGCATTCTAGCCCTCGCTAAGCGCACAGAGGGATCTGGCGCGATCGATCGCCAGGATGCTGGATCAGGTTCTTTATTAGGTAGGGAGAATCCTCGAAATATTTTTCCAGAGGAGCGAGAATATGAGCGTGAGCGAGGAATCTCTCAAGCGCTACGTGGAGCACGCGAGCTACAGATGCTACCAGGATTTGCTCGTGGATTCCCGGGCCGACGAGACGGAAGGGTGGAAGCCGATCAAGAGCAAGCGCGGCATTGCGATCTCTTGCCGGAGAGATGGCAACAAGACGATCGTGATGCGAGGCCAGAGCGTGCTCAACATCTCCCCTTCCAAATTCCAAGCGGTCACCAACGCGATCGACACTGCCAAGGTACTTCTTCTATTCTTTCGAGAGCACGGAAGGATCTTCTTCGAGAAGAAAAAAAAAAGCCAAAAACGAGGGAACAAACTTCCCAACTATCTGGTGTGTTTGTTTTCGCTGATGGTTTTCTTTTCCTTTACCAGCAATGGGACAAGAGCTTCATTGAAGGCCAGTGCTTGCATCGCCTGGAAGACAATCTAAACATCTTCCGGCTCGTCTTTGGGCGCAATTCCAGATCACCGCTCTTTAGAAACCGGGAGTTCATCGTTCACGAGAGGCGCGAGATCATGGACGACGGTACGGTGGTAAGCTTTCACTCCAAAACCTTTAAACTTTTTCCCGATTGATGATCAAGTTGAGAACATGATCATGTACGGCCGCCGTGAAGCTCACGAACTTGTGTGTTCTTGGTGGATTCAACTCCCAGGTGGTTGCCGTGACGTCTCTTCCGCAGGAAATGGCTGCTGGAATCTTGCCACCCCGCGGCCAACTCGTGCGTGGCTTGCTTCTCTACTCCGGCTGGGTGGTGGAGCGGATCCAACAGAGCAATGCTTGCATGGTGACTTACATCGTCCAGGTATGTCTAAATCTCGCTGTTTCAGTGCAAGTGTGAGTGATTTTGTATGGTTTCTGCAGGTTGATCCTGCTGGCTGGCTTCCCAAGTGCATAGCAAACATGCTTGTGGTGAAGCTGGTGTTTGTCATATACCACTTATGCAGGCTTGCGGCAGTCACATTGTCAACTCATTCTGAGGAAATCACTATGAAATAACATGCGAATGTATGTATGTGCTGTTTCAGATCTTAAATTATTCTTGATTTGCGAGCGGGTCATACAAAACTGACTAAATCACTGAGAAGTACTCTGTGGATATCTTGTAGCTATGTAAATTATTCTTGATTTCCCAGAGGCCATATAAAATCACTATGAGATAGATGTGTGAGGTACAGTCATGTAGTGATTTTTTATAACCTCTTTGCGAATCATGAATAATTTACATGGGTACGGAATCATTACAAGATTTGCAGCAATATAATTCTTTGTGATCTTTCTAAAGTTGATCCTCTAGGCTAGAGTTCATATAAACTGAGATAGAGACTTCAGTGCTAGTGACTACGAATCATTGTTTAACATGTGAAAGGAACATGAGATAAAAAAGTCAACAGGAGAAAGTCAAACCACCTAGAGTCAACGTACCTAGTCAACGACTACCATGTCCTCGAACATCGGGCCCGAGATGGCGTTGTGCAGCATTATCATGGGATTCACCCGGCCGTCGTAGTTGAGGAACATCTTGAGTATGTTCTTGGAGAAGCCCGAGACGAGCGCCACGCCAGGCTCGTCCTTGGTCACCGGGATGCTGTCCGAGTCCCTCAGGTTCCAGAACACGATCTGCGGCGGCTCATCGTATCCGGCAGCCTTGAACTTCTGCTTGATCAATTCATAATCCGTGAGCCATCCCTCCGAAGCGGCTGGCGGCGATGGCGAGCTTCCACCCCACCAATTCGGACTAGGATTGTTTGCCGGTCCGCCCCTGGCCTCGTCGAACTCCATGTCGCTGTAGACGAAGAGCCTCTTGACCATCTTCTCGGGCGGGACGTTAAACTCGCGTGCTCGCTCCAGGATGCGATCAAACACCTTCTGGAAGTCGGTGTTCATGTCCAACGGCATCCTCGCCGTGAACTGGTACTTCTCCGCCAGCGTCTTGCCGGTGATCTCGTGGAATGCGGGCTCGTTGCTGAAAGTTATCAGCCGCCCCTTCCACGGCTCATCGCTCAGTTCCGCCGTGAGGAGTCCCAGCGCGATCGCCACCTCCAGCGGCGTCCCATACATACTCCCGGACACGTCGCAGATCGAGACCGCGTTTTGCAAGCTCCCCTTTTGCCGCAGCTCGTCCACCATCGCCCTCCACTGCAGCTCCGCCGTCTCGCGGTGCTCCTCCACCGCGTCCCTGAGTATGTCATGCGGGAGCAAAGCCCCCGCCGCGATCTTCTTCTTCCCGGCCTCGACGTCGCTCAGGAACTGCTTGAAGCGCGCCTCGTCGTGCTTCATGAAGATCTCCGTGTAGTTCTTCATCGCCACCGACGCCACCCGGTTGTATGGCAGCTCATCCCACCTCTGCGCGCTCATGAACACCTCCGGTAGCTCCAGCGCCTTGCGCAGTGGAACCAGGACCTCCTTGCGCAGCTTGTCGCGGATCCGGTAAGCGTAGTGCGGCTGCTCGAGCTCCGCGAGCTCGGGAGAGCTGTCCTTCGGGAAGAGCAGCCGCGCGATCGCCTCGCATAGCAGCGTCTGCTTGTCATACGACGAGTCGAGCGATGGACACCACTTCGCGGCGAGGCTGAGCCTCGCTTTCTCCTTGTCGCTGCGAAGCGCTTCCATGTCCTTGGCCAGAGCCTCGGCGAAAACACGCGCAACACCCGAGTAGATCGCCGCGAACTCGTCATCTTTCTCGTGCCGCTCGATCACGCGCTTGGCCAGCTCCAGCGCTTTCCTCCTGCGAAGCTCCGACGCCTGCTGCTTCAACAGCTTGTCCCTCTTGAGGCTGGCCGCGATCCTGTCCTCCTTGGTGCCGATCTTGAGCTTGGACGACGCTCTCGCCCACTTGTTCTTCCCCGATGGCTTCGTCCAGGAGAACAAGCTCCTCCTATAGCCCCTCGTCGAGCTCATCACCGATTCTTTCGGTGGCTTCCTCCGCTTGTGCTGCCTTTTCTCCTCGATCCTCTTCTCGGTCACCTCCTCGCCTTCTAATATCCTCTGGACGAGCTCCAAGAGATCCTTGAAGTAGCCAACCGGGGCAACCTTGGCGATGTTTGCTGCGAGTGTGCGAGGGTGGTGCTCGTAGAGCCAGCACGCGGCGTCATAGAAGTGGAGCTTGTCCGATTTGCCCGTGCCGCGGACGCCCCGGAGCTGGAAGATGAGCTTGAGCGTGGTGAGAGGATCCTCCGCCCACGCCGCCGCGGCCAGCTCCTGGACGCGCGACTTATCGGTGGTCACCGGGACGATGTGGAAGAAGAAATCCAGGCATGCGGAGCCCGACTCGTAGAAGGTGAGGCCCAGGTTCTCGGTGGTTCCCATGAGTGGACTTTTGGGGGCCGCGGGTGGGCCGCAGAGCGAGAATTTGTGGCGATCATCGCTGGTGGTGGCGGTCCTGGCGGCGGTGGAGAGGAAGCGCGATCGGGGTGGAGTGACAAACCTGGCGGCAGCGATGATCCTCGACATTGGTGGAAATGTAGGGTTCTAGGGTATATTCGGTTTAATTTTGGAGATTTTTGGTTAGGCTTAGAGAATATACTCTGTATCATATGGTTTTCTGTAATCCTGAGCACGCCCATTTTTTCAATAATTTAAGATTATGCATTTTTTTAAGACTAAATAGGGTAAATGTTAATGTTTGGTGATGTATGGATTAATAATATTATTAAACAAGGATAATACTACTAAACTATATATTTCCTTTGCCATAATGAAATTTGATAAGAGCTCCAAACTCACATTTGGCTATTGATATTATATTATATTCCATAATTAAATCTTTGAGTAATCATACATCTACATCTCTTAACAAAATTATATCATATTATAAGTGATTATAGTCCAATGCTACTCTTTAATATTTTAGAATGAAACCCATATTAAAAAATGTGTTTATGTCAATCGTTCATAATTAGTAGTTTATAAATACATGATTAATCTGATTGAAATTACTAGTAACTGTTTAGGAAAGTTATTCAAGCATATTCTAAATATCACAAGAAATGCATAGAAGCATTATATATTTACATATGTGTGAATTTTATTTTATTTTTGAATTGCATGAAAAACTATTATGCACACAATCACTTTTCAATTGCTAAATAAAATATAATTGTGTGTATAATATTTTTGTTATGGGATATACCATATATGTATGGGGTATGAAATTTAAGAGAAATTAATGTCACATCATTTCAAATAACATTTTAGTAAGGGTTTTATTGTTTTATTCTTGTGTCGTTAAGTGTAGATTTATCTCCTTTGCATATGTTTTATTTGCCTCTCATTTTGTATGGCTATGCCTTGTTTTACATGGCTTGAGAGCATATTTCAATTGTAGCACATACTACTATAAACATAGTACTTTGATTGCTCTTGGAAGTGCATTTCATTTTTCACAATTTATTTGTTGTGCAACACCTTAATTTATATAGCAATTGATTGGCATAGTGGCAATTGAGGTAGAGGCATAGAGGTGAGTGTAAAGCTTTTTTTTGGATGCTTAAAATGTTGAGTGCAATAGATTTTCTGTAAACAAGTGGATTTTATTGTTGATGTAGTAAAGCTTTTAGACATGTGTTCTAAAGGCAATAAAGTAGAACTTTGCGTTCCTAATCAAATATACATATTTTTAGCATTATAGTGAATTTATTATATTTAGGAATGTTAGTTTATTGTGTAAAGGGATTTTCATTACCCTAATAAAAAGGAATGGCTTAAATACACAGTGGTGGCAAGTTCAACCTATAGCATCCAAAAGATATTCAAAAATTAATATGTGTGATGAAAAACACCATACTCACAAACTCTAACCCAAAATTTAAATCTTAATGATTGTGTTAAAAAATCTAACATGGAATCAAAATTTATACAATACAAAAATTCACACGTGTAATGCTAACTTGGACATTGCTATGCATTTGTGGTGGGCACCAATGCATGCCCATGCATAAAAAAAAAGTTATGTTTAAGATATTATTTTTTGAATCACATATAAGTGTTATAATAATTTAAATACACGTGTTTCTTTTTAAGGTGAGAGAACGTCAACAAATGTAATGCACATGAATTTGGAACTAAACTCCAAGCCTGTTACACTACAAAAAGAGTTGATATGCATTTAACATCCTCTATGAACACTAATTACTCATATCCAACTCTTGCATTCAAAATAGTGTTGAAAGGTGTCTAGCACAATTTCAGCTTACTGGTGGCCTAACACAAGAAATTAAGTACTCAACCAACTAGAGCATAAAATTTATATAATTCATAAAATAATATTCTAAACACAACTTCTTTTTTATACAACTGACCAAAGTTGTATAAAACTTGGGCTTAGGCCCAAATTAGATGCAAAACAAGGGGCAACATAGCTCAACAAATGTTAAATTAGTGTTTTAGGTGGTTGGCCATATTTCTAACCACTATCCTTACTATACATTTGGTTTTGTGTTCAACTTGGGGCTAAGTTTATATGTATTATAACAATTTAAGTACATATGTGTATTTTGGAGTTGAACTTTAAGTTTGTTGTACTACAAAGTAAGGGTTCAATATACACTTAATATCCTTTATAAGCATCAGCTCCCTATATCCAACTTTTACATGTAAAATAGTGTCAAATAGTGTTTGGCAATATTTAAATATACTAATAATTTAATATGAGGAACACATGCTTTAAGCTTTCACCATAATCCCAAGAATGAGTATCTAGGATAAACTGAAAAATTTATTAAATATGGAATGGCACTAGATCAAGAATTGAGAAGTAGGAATAACACTATAAGGTTCAAGACACTTTCTACATTCCATACATATACACTACTAATGGATCTAGATATTTACCATAATTAGCACATGGGATTGAAATGAGACTAAGATATAAGGCATGATAATAAGGGTGTATGGTGGATATAGTAAGGGACTAGATTTAATATGTGAGGTTCTTGTCACTAACCATGAGAACTCTTTATTAAGGTAAGTATTAGAGAGACATCACTTTAGACAATAGAAACTTCTTGACTTACAATAATGCCTTTATAATTTTTAGTGCCAGATACTATATTTGATTTAGTTAATAGTATATAAGAATTTCATATTTATGCTCATTCGGTCTAAGTACACTTGAAATGTCTAATTAACTCCAGTAGCACAAAAGGAGCTAATAAAGGAATCTAACTATAACAACTTCTTGGTGTTATGATAATAATGAAAGAGTGTCCAAAAGGAGTGGTTAACAAGTACTTTTCAATACTTGAAGTTATGTTTGAAACAATAAAGAAGCATAACTATTGATTCTCATCATCTCTCCTTCATGCCTACTTCTATATGCATCAATTATGGTGGGGTTTGCATCACATCTCCTTACTTAGAGGTTATAGTAGATGTATCAACTTGAGGGACTTGCACATAAACATATAAACAAAGAAAGGGAGGTAAAAAACCCCTTAAGACACTAGGCTTTTCTCTCTAAAGGTTAGGGTATGCAAAGGCTCTAAGTTGAGAACCAAACAAAGGCCTAAAGGTATCCAACTTTGTCTATTATTACATTTCTCCTATTGCTACTTTGTTTTGCATTTATACATTTTGTTTTAACCATATGCATGCTACTTCTCAAGCATGGTCAAGGATCTTCCTTATGAAAGAGAGGCGAGCATGTATTTAAAAATATTATTTTTATAGCTTTTGGTTGCTTGACCCTATCTAGTCCTAGTGCTTCTATAAAAAAATCTTGATTATGTATCTAGAGTAAAAGGATCATAAATTGGTCTCTTATAAACTATATTTATCTTACCCTTTATCTTACCAATTAATTGAGGAAAAACTATTTAATAACAGTTATAAACATACTAGAGAGAGCATTGACTTCCATATAATAATTCAAGGAATTGAGGCAATAATGATATACTATTGCCAGCAATCAACCATCGAAAAAGCCCCATCATATTAAATGCTACTAACTCAAATGGATGAGAAAATTCAATTAACTCTAATTATCCTTTTGTAATATGACAGGAAGTATTATGAGATTAGCAGCAAATGCTATTATACACATACCAAATAACATCATGTCACATTTTTTGTCAATAGAAAGACTTGCATAATTTCTTAATTATACAATAATGTCTAGTATATATAATAATAAGAGAGCTATGGAGGGCATAGAAAAAGTGTGGAATAAATATTAAAGGCGCCACTAGCCATAAATGGTCATCAAGATTTGTCCCCACAAAATGAAAAAATCATTTTTAAATCAATATTTAAAATGTAAATGCTAAAATGATAAATCATTAGCAAGTGATACAAGATTCTCAAACCCATCAAAAAACATTCAAATGGATTGAACTTTTGGTGCTATGAACTGTGATCATATTAATATTGCACCAATCATGAAGATGTTGTCATCAACTTTTAAGGGATATGATTGTATAGTGTCTCTTGTTCTTAGTATTTTATTATCTCTCATATGGTTGTGATATTAATTAGAGAGTTGCAATTTCATTCTTAGAGAATATTCTTAGGATTGAACTTATGGGAACGTAATATATGAGCTCAAATAATTTGGAAATAACTATGAGGATAAGTTGGAGATTTTACAAGTTAAATGTTAATCTTTAAATTTGTTATATAATTGTTTTCTCTTTGTCTTTTACTCTTTCCCAATTTTGTCTTATATCCCAACCTAAACCACTTCTTTGTGTTTCTTTTGTTTTTTCCTTATCTACAACAATTTCTTATCTTTTCATATCAATTATTTGTGATTATTATGATTCTCATTCTTAATTCAATATTGAGTTAAGTGTTTTTTGTCCTCCACATGCTAATTTGGATGTTAAGTATGTGTGTGAAGATGACAATTTTACTTTTTTTTAATTGATTGAGTCTTTGATCAGTTCCATTAAAGTATTCTTATATTTCAAGAGTTAAGTCACTTTTGCAACAGTTTTGCATATTTCCTTTGTTATAAATGAGTTTATTGAGAGTCTTTATTTTATTATTACTAGTGAGGAGTTTATTCGTTCTTTTGAAAGTGTGGAATTTTCCTTTGATTTTCCCATATCAAATATAGAGCTTGATTTTGAACATATCTACACCAAGCACTCTTGCCATATCTAAAGCAAAATCTTGAAGAAAATATTGACATCACTCTTGGAGCATTAGAGGTAGTTTAACACTTTAACAATATTATAAGGAGGGAACTCTTGTTCAATTGCAGTCAAAGTCACAAATGAAAAAGCCTCACAACACCTCTCAAAATAAAAAGAGGGATTGTTGTAGAGGTGAAGGTGGATTATTGATTAAACTTGGAGATAAAGGTGGAG